GTAGCTGATAATCTAATCATCAATATATTTTGCAATATTAATGTTACTTCATTGAAATATTAAATTCTACTTGAAGCCCCTAGCTATTACTATGTCTGTCATATTCCAGCCAGCTTGATGAGCTCTCTATTGTGGGAAAGGCTTCATCGGCACTGGACATATCAGATTTAGTGTTGGTTGACACATGTTCTCCTTTGCTTTCACTCATCAGTTCCTAAAATGACTAATGTAGTTTTATGACTCACTCCAGGAACAAGGAAACTAACTTGCTGATTCGCCAGCACTTGAGAATGATAGTAAAGTTAATACAAAATACGACAACAAAAATGTTAGATTAAATAAACAATGTTAAAATAAAATAAATAATTGTGTTATTAATTCTTGCCTAAACCTCTGATTTGTAAAGGACTTAAATAAAATTTATAATAATAACAATTTCTTTACTTAACCTGATTTACACCCTAACAGTTGTTGATGGAAACTGATAATATGTATAATCCCTAGACCAATACTATGTCTGTCGTGTCCCAGCCGGACTGATGAGCCCTGTTATTGGATGAAAGGCCTCGTCGGCACTGAATATAGCAGATTAAATGTGGTTGATATATTATAACATGTTTTCCTTCGCTTTCACTCGTTGGTTTCTAGACTATATACACAAATACATAATAAACTGCAATAGGCTGAGCGCAGTTTCGTGGTTAACGTGTTTGGAGTGTGAATACGAAGGTTTATGGTTCGCAGCCAGCCCATTGTCACAAAAACGCGCTCAGCACGTTGGGACTGTGATTGCACTATACAAGTGGTGGTCAAATTCCATAATTCAAGACAAAAGTAGCCCAAGAGTTGGTGGTAGATGTTGTTGACTAGCTGGCTTCCTTCTAGTCTATCAGCTTAAAATTTGGGACGGCTATGCGCAAATAGTCCTTTGTGTAGCTTTGAGGGGAAAATTCTGAAGCAAAACAGATCGGAAATGTGTACACGAACGATACAAGTTCGTTAGAACAAAGGACGTAGTAAACAGCTAGGCTATTTAACATGTTAAAAGTCAAACCAGCCGAAAATACTCAGTATAAAAAAAAAATACATCTTGCGAATTAGGCTGAATTTGCATGCTTGTTCGAGTCAATTTATCGTGATTTTGTGAAAACTTCATATTGGTGATATTCCATTATGTGTAATATACATAGGTATGCATTTGTCTATTCACCCTTGATACTTAACTCAAAAGTATCTAATTTATGGGCATAGCTTTTGCAAATTTACGCTAGTTTTGTGTTCCTACGCCTCTCTACTCTTCAGTTATCGTTTGAACATTGTAGCAAACAATCCCAAATCTATCATTTATCGCACTACCCTTGCTACCAGGACACCACTAAATAACCTTGCCGACTCATATTAATTCGACCATCGCCTCCGCTTAAGTGAAAAGTAGGTCTTGTTCTCTTTGGATCTTCGTGACTTGATTAACAACTTTCTGTTTATCAAGCAAAGACAGCCATATATAGGTTGTAGGGCCGATACAAGATTCAAAGTAAAAAAAAAAGAGTAATAATACAAAATAATCAATCGAACAAATTATTTAAATAATATGATCTCACCTCGCTTCTTAGTTCTTCTGGTAATAAATGTTGACTTTGAAAATATTGTTTCCATATTTAAGTAAGGAAGCACATTATGCAAATATAATAATATGTTGGCAAAAAAACAACAACGATTTATAAGCATAATAAAGTGATTTATTTTGAGAAGAACATTGTTTTGTT